AGTCAGCTGATGTGTTGTTATCTGAAATCAGTAATCCACAGCAACAACTTTAGAAGAAAAGAAAGCCAAGTTTACACCTGTCCAGGAATAAAGTTAACCTCTTAAAAATATCCACAAAACGATCCAAACTTAGTTAGAGTTCTCTGGGTAAAATATCCACCACACAAAGAAGTGGTGCACTGCTTATGACGGGTGCACTGCATTAAACGGATTTTAAAACAAATATTTTTTTCAAGTAACGGAAAATTTCGCTCAGCACTCGATGAATATTTCATATGCCTGTATAACTCTGGTCACTGACCCTTGAACTCCTCTCCCCATATATTCAAATAACTTGATGCATTAACTACCTTGGTGATTCAAGCCCTGTGTGCCTGATTCCAGGTCATCATCACTACAAAAACTGAAGTCAGCTTCATCATCTGATGACATCACCTCTGAGGACTGTTCTGATTGGCTAATCTCAGTAACCTTGACCTGGTTATGAAGTACAGCATCTTCCAATGTTTCCATGGCAATATCAGTGTTAAAAGTAGAGAGCTCCTCTTCTTTTGGTATGTCATAGTTATTGAGAGAAAGGCTGGTGTTTGAGCCTGTATAGAAATATTCTGTGGAAAAAATGAGATATCTATCCTAAATCAGTCTTTAACAAGCCCTCACATATCATATTATACACTGTTCTGAGTATCATTTAGATATACATACATGCAATTCCATACAAGCAAACTCCACCTGGTTTTAAAAAATCTGAAATTGTTAATTATGTCAAGCTAAGTAAGTAATCACCATGAATGATTTCCAACAATGCACTTTTACCTGTTAGTTTTGCCTCATACACGGCTGCATTGCAGCCCTTTGCGATTATGTTTCCAAATGTATAATCTTCAAGGCAGAATCCAATTTCTGTTGAACAGGGTTTGGCGTCAACATTTTCATATGATGATTTGAAAAGCTCCTGTAAGTGGACAGAGGAAAAAATGTTCATTTGAAAATTTCCACGCAAAGCCATTCCCATTGTTTTTCTGTTCATTTATTTAATGATAAACTAGACAAAAATCTGACAAATGTACAGACATTAGTTATTAATTCTACACAAATGTTCAATTATGGAGATGAAATCATGGCAAAATTTTTAGTAAGAAAAGTGAACTTGCTTTTCACAATGAAAATATAATCTATTTCAAGATGTTTATCCCAGGATGGTGTTTACAGTATCACAAGCCCTCAAATAATTGCGACTTCATTTTTAAAGATATTTCCAATTTTTTAAAATCAAAAATGCTCACTTGAATCTCACTGCAGAGCAGATCTTCAGTTTTTGCCTCCGAAGCATTTAGATTGCTGACTAATCCAAATCCTACTAAACCTAGAGCAGGGACGCGTCTGCCAGATCTGACCTGGTTAAGTGCTGCAAAACGTTGTGCTGCAACTCGGTGAATCTGTGCAGGTAACTTGAAATAGCTGTAATGTAGAATAAATTACCGCTTTAAACTGTAACAAAAATCCACAAATGAGAAAAATAGAATTGCCAGCTTTATTTTTAAAAGTAAGATGTACAAGTCAGAAATCTTTCCATGCATGTTGATTATGGATCTTTTTGTTTTACCAGCCAAAAATAAATCATAAAATGTTTAATCAATGTAAATAGCTATTTATCTAAGATTAATTGTCATTGACAAGATAAACTTGACAATTACGAGGTATGAGATATGTATTTGATTTTCACTGTTTGTCGACAGTATTAACCTCCGTCAGGGAATGAGGCTATCCAGGTGAAATGCTTCTATCCAGGAGATATACCTGGAGGTAAACGGTTACAATAAAAGCTGTTAATTGAAGAAAAAAAAACTTTATTCATACAGAACATAAGACAGCTGATGAAATTTAAACCTCACCTTCTGACTGATGTTTTCCATGCCTCTTGCCTTGTCACCAGCTCTCTTGCAGGATAACCAAATGCACTTTCTGAAACACACAATTCACAACTGGTAAGTAATCTGTTACGTCAAAATATTCTTCTAGCACATAATATCCAGTAACCACATCAGTCATAACAAATTTTGACAAAAACTTGATTTGTAAGGTCAATATCATTATAATTGTAATTTCCACAAGACGCCAATTTTGCAATAACGGTAAAAAATACCTGCTTAAAAATTAACTTGAAATCAAAATGAGTGTTTAATAAAGTAACCAAACACACACACACACATATACATACCAAGCCCTTCACCTCGACCATGGACTTTCCCAACTTTGCACCATAATTCTTTCCCACGCTTGAATAATGCTAACAACTTCTGTCTCATCGTCTCCTTGTTGCCATCTGCTGCGATGCAGAATTTCCCCCCGCTGGCCCCAAAAGAGGCCTTTAACTTAAGCCCCAAAAGCTTAATGATTGCGTGGACTTAAACACTGACGCAATGCGCCCTAAAAGGGCGAAATATTTTCGCTCATCAACTGCGCAGTTTTGTATCTGATGACGAAACCAGAGTAAATTCCCCAGTCAAAACATTGGTGACGTCATTACATCTTACTCTCAAAATGACTAAAATTACTTTTAAGTTTGTTTGTTTAAAATCTCACACTCATTATTATCTTTGTGCATCAAATAATGATTTTTAAATTTCATATTGATGCGATATGGCCAATATTTACATTAATGGGAATGAAAACAAACATTATGTACAGCTACGGTTTGAGATTAAGTGGCACTCTTGTGAATAAGAAGGTACATAAATAGTTTGTATACAACACGTGAGGCAACGAGGACAACACGAACTAAGAAAATATAGCTAAAATTGGTAAACATGGAGACTTTCCACGAACAAATGATGTTCGGGGATTCTTTATCAGTTTTTCTACCCAATGATGCGAAGGATGTCAGGTACTTTGGAGTCCCATCCCTCAATCTCTCTAAAACAAACGCACGTGCACACATTCTCTCTCTCTCTCTCGCACATAACGACCAATCAAAGATAATATTAATTTTATTATTATTGTTACAATATTATTTTTTATTACTGGTCGTAGTAGTAGTAGTAGCTAGTAGTAGTGATCAAGTAGTAATACCAGTAGTACATGTAGTTTCTTCTAGAACATGGAATTCAGTTCATTAAGTAAATTTCCTATCTAATTTATTTCAATTGCAGGGACGAAATTGATAAAAGGTACTGCATAAGTGACTTAACAAAAAAAAAAAAAAAAACAGAAAATCCAAAACTTATTTACTAGTAATTATTTTTTCATGGGATGGGGGGGGGGGGGGAGGCACAGGGAAATATACTGTATACTCGGTAAGTTCGTGGTAGCATCATCATGTGACTTATAAAAATAGCCAAAGACATGATTCCAGTGGTTAAAAAAATAATGATATTTTGATATTTTCAAGTGAAATCCGGGAGATCCCAGACAATCAAGAAGTGTTTACCCATTCACAGATGGACCAGAGTGTAATATTTGAAATTTTGGAATACGTAAAAGAGGACTCACATCAACAGGCAATGAGGTTACAATGCTTCAGTTATTTATTTATTATTATTATTATTTTAATAATAATTACACAGAAGCAGTCATAGCAGTTGACACATTCATTCATTCACAAAATTCAGTAAAATGTATCATTTGTTTTGTAATTTGATTAATGAATAGTGACAGTTGTATATTTCATGTAGAAGTGAAGCATATTGGAATTTGTAAATACCATTTCAATATACCTTAATGTTCTAGTCTGCACCAGTACATGCAGTTACCACTATACTTGCTTGTGATTTGAAGACTGAACATTAATGTCTAAGGCCCCATTCAGAATAGGGGACTAACTAGTACGAGTGTCAAATATGGCCAACCCACTTGAATACTTTCCCACAGGATATCTATTCAGTGTCTGTTAGCAGATTAGATGGCAAGCTTTGTAGTGGGTGGCCATATTTGACCCTCTGACTAGTTAGTCCCCTATTCTGCATGGGGCCTTTGACTGTCCTTTTGCATTTCATGTAGAACCCACTTTGAAGATGTGTGTCTCAGTAATGAGGTGGGTGAGGACTCGGAGATTATTACAATTGAAGCTGTGCCTGCAGACAGAATTCAAATGGAACAGTGAGTATAATATTATTGAGCTGAACAAACTCAAACTAAAGCCAGTTTGAGAATAAATTGAAAAAAGAAGGGTTATTTTAATACCAAATATTTTAGCCTTCGTCAATTTATGACAATTAATTCCTTGGTTGTCCATTGAAATAAAGTAAAAATTTGATCAGTATGACATTTCTAAGTTATTAAAAAACTGAATTTAGTTACCTCAACTGAACTGACACTCGAAAGTAATTATTGAAAATTTAGCTCAAAATAACTGATCTGAATAGATTTGTTAAGCTTTGGCCACCGTTCCTGCTTTTATTCAGAAGTTTAAATCCTGATGTCCTAAAGGGCCAGCATACTACAGTATTTTTAGTACAGACTGGGTGATTCTGTTTCTTAATGATAAATTAAATATACTGTATTTTCAGCGCAAAATGCGTGTGGTACCTTAAGGGCTGCCAGAGAGTTGCTAAATTCAACGAGGATGCTAAAAACACAGTGGAGATCCACATGGCTTTGTTCAGGCTGCCTCAGTTTGACTCTGATATACTTGTCACATTTAATAACCCATTAGAGATCAGGTACGTGTGCTCTTTTATG